GTTTTATGGAGATATAATTCACTGATTTCACATATGCAGCTCAGTGGTTTTTATTATATTCACAGATGTGTGCAGTCACCACCAGTTAATTTTCAAATATTTTCATCACCTCAAAAAGAAATTCTACCCATTAGCTATCATCCCCTTTCCCCCCGTCCCACCCCTACCCCCAGCCCAAAGCAATTCCTAATCTGCTTTCTGTCTCTCTAGATTTCCTTATTCTGGACTTTTCATATGAGTGGAATCATTGTAGTATGTGGCCTTTTGTGATGGGCTCCTTTCACTTAACTAATGTTTTCAAGGTTCATCCAGGTTGTGGCATGTTATCAGTACTTCATTCCCTTTTATGGCTGAATAATATTCCATTGTGTAGACGTACCATATCTGCTTGGGGCCCTTGGGACCGTGTGGATCTGGATGTCCATTTCTCTCCCCAGGTTTGGGATCCTTTGGATTATTGCTTAAAATATACTTTCTCTCCCTTTTTATTCTAAAATTCCCACAACATGGTTATTATTTGTTTTGAGTGTGTCCCATAAGTCCCATAGGCTTTTTTCACTCTTTTTCATTCTTTTTTCTGTTTGCTCTTCCGACCGTGTGAGGTCCAGTGTCCTACCTTCATGATTTTTTTGCATGGTCAGCTCTGCTTTTGAGGTTGTCTGTTAAATTCTTCAGTGCAGTCATTGTATTTTTTTAGCTCTAGGATTTGTTTGTTTCTTTGTTGGTTTTTAATGGTTTTTATTTCTTTGTGGAACTTCTTGTTCTGTTCATACATTGTCTTCCTAATTTCATTTAGTTGTCCGTTTCTGTAGTTCACTAAAATTCTTTAAGAAGATGATTCTGAATTCTGTGAGAATGCGCAGATCTCCATTTCTTCAGGTTGTTTTTGGAGCTTTGTGAGTTTCCTTTGGTTGTGCCACGCTCACAGAACTTTTCGTGATTCTTGGCTCCTCTCGTTGGCATTTGCGCGTGTGAGTGAGTGGTCTGCTCTTCCCGGCTCTGCAGCTCCACTTTGGCAGAGACAGTTCTGCACCAGTCAGCTCCGTCCGGGCTTGTCTGCTGCTCGTGTCCTTGGGCAAGTGGGACTTGCCGTCGGGGCTTGTTTTTGGACAGGGCCACTGGCCGGGCTTTGAGGCCGGGGCTGGGGGGTGGCACCACCGAGAGGCGGAGAACAGGCGCACAGGCTGCCGGCTTTGTCCCCTGCGCCCGCAAGGCCGTCCCTGGGCTTTCTGGGCAGGCTTGGTAGGTGGTCTGGACGGGGCACTACACTCAGCAGGAGATGGGGCTGTGAATTAGCTTCTCAGCCCTGGGGTGGGAGCAGGGCGGACCCCACGGCGCACGTAGCTTGTTGTCTGGGAACTAGAATCAGGCAAGACTGTGCCCTGAATTCTCTGGTCAGGTAAGGCCACTGTCTTGCTCTACAGGCAGGGAAAGCCACTGGCTGTGTTCTCTGCTCAAGTGTCACTGTTAGCAAGTCTGTGAGATGGGCCACGCAGCTTCCCATGTGCTCTGTTCAGCTTCCCTGGTGGGGTGGGCTGAAGGCTGTATTCAGCAATGCGCAGGGCTGCCAGCTAGCTTTCCTGCTCAGGCACAGTGGGAGAACCAGCTCCAAGGCTCTTGGTTTGTGGTCTTGACTCAGACTGACCTGCCCCCACAAGCTCCCTGGCCAAACAGGGCCCCTGGCTTTGCTCTGCAGGCCACCAGCTCTGCCTGCTGGGCTCTGCTCCAGGTTTGCTGTGCTCTGAAGCTGCCAGGGTTTCTTGGCCAGAAGCTCCTGGGGAGGGCTGGGAGCTTCACTCTTGTGGGCAGGACTGTGACCCCCTTGCCTGGGTGGGATGGGAGGGCCAGCCCCAAGCAGCCTGCAGGTTTTCCCCATCAGGCTTTCTGGTCAGGAGCGGCGAGGAGCTACACTCAGCTGTGGACCAGGGTCTGATTCAGCTCCCCTGCCTGGGAGGGGACAGACCAGGCCCCAGGACTGGCAGACGTGCACTCCACTGAGTTCCCTGGGCAGACTGTGCCTCTGACTTGGTTCTACAGATGAGCAAGCTGCTAGCTGGGGTTGCTGCTTGGGTGCTGCAGGTAGGGGCTTGACCTGCCGAGATCCAAGTGCTGCTTCTTGCAGGCCCCTCCCCCTTCTTCATCCCCATCAGATGCCCCGTGGTCACGCCCCGCAGATGCTCCTGTGGTCCCCAGGGGACGAGCCTGGAGGGGCTGGATGTTGACCCTGGGCTCTTCTTTTACCCCTGGAGGGACCACAGGCACAGAGGAGACCTCTTGCCGTGGTGCTGTGCGAAAGCACCATGGGCAGTCCCCTTCTAACGCGGTCTGTCGTGGTCTCTGTAGTGCAGGGGTGGGCGTTGCAGCCTCTCCCTCGGATTCTCGGATTCTCAGTGGCATCTTGTTTGTGAATAGTTGCTGGTTCTTCTCGTGACGCAGAGCAAAGTTAGGAATGTTCTGTGTCGCCATCTTGGTGACATCACCCTCAGTAGGTTTTTAATATATGCAAATATGCAGTCACTGCTGTTTGAATTCCTTTTTTTTAATTGAAATATAATCAGTTTACAATGTTGAAGTCTTTTTTTATCAGCATGTATTATAGAAATTTGGGGAAAAGGAATAATGCAAATACTTAAAAGTAAAGGGAGGGGTGCATTTTAAAGTTTTTTAAATGAGGATCTTACTGGCTCTATTCCTTTTGTAGATGAGAGGCTGTCTTTTTACATTTCGTAAACAATTAACGTGTGGCTCCCAAGTCCCAGGAGCCCTGCTGGACTCGGGATACAACAGCGAAACAAGAGAATTGTTGCCCTTTTCGAGATCCTGCCCTCTGGTCATGAGAAACACATGAACGAGAGTAGCCAGTACCATGTGATGTACGTTCCCAAGGCCCAGTGAGGAAAAAGAAACTAGTCAGCAGCTTTACTAGACCCACGGGAGTTCACCAGGAGACGAACAGGACACTCCAGACCCAGGCAACAGAAGGTCTGAGGGCGGAAGTGAAAAAGTGAACATCTCTATGGACTCTCTCCCCAAAAGAAAATCAGCTCTCTAACTCTTGCTATCTCTAAACAGATTGTGTAAATTTAATCTAGAGAGTGATGCCTGGTGGGCACCAGATGTCATAAGGTGAAACCCAAGCGACTCCTCGGGGCTTAGTATCGAGAGAGCACAGGATTTAGGAAGAGGTGTCAGCAGGAAACTCCACTTGTCTTTCCCTTTGTTGTAGGATTTTCTTTTTCAATTTTGCTTATTTAACCTATTTGTGCTGGGGATTATTATAATAATGCTTCATTATATATGAAAATTATAAACTGAAAGGTACTATGCAGTTCTTCAGTGACACTCAAACCAGCGAACACTGAAATACCCAGACACTCAGAGAAGAAGAAAGTATTCAGTTTCTAACTTTTTTTCAGTTGAGTTTAATTGTCCTCGGTGTTCAATTTGCTTGCAAGAGTTGTTGTGTCATCCAAGTTTTGCCGTGATTTCATTCTTTTTATTCACAGAGCTTCTGTTTCACAAAGTAGCCTTGAGATTCAGCGGTCTTTAGTAACTCTTGACGCATTAAGGATGATACATTCTTACTACAGCATAACTGTTTTGATGAGACTTGGCATCGTACGTACAACTTATGTATTGCCGTCCCTGTAGAGAAGTTACTCTCTCTTCAGACTCACAGACATGTTAAACAAACTTATGGTTACCTGGGGGAAGGAGGTGGGAAGGGATAAATTAGGAGTTTGAGATTTGCAGATACTAACTACTATATATAAAGTAGATTAACAAGTTTATACCGTAGAGCACAGGGAACTATATTCGGTATCTTGGAATAACCTGTAATGAAAAAGAAATGAAAATGAATATATGCACGTGTAAGTATGACTGAACTATCGTGCTGTTCACCAGAAATTGACACAACATTATAAACTGACTACACTTCAATTAAAAAAAGAAAAGAAGTTAATCTCTGTTCATGCTAGGGTTGACTGAGAATGATTCTGTTTATAACTAGACTCTAGATCACACTGACACACAATAATAAACTTTTTAGACTAAGTTCTTTAAATGATGCTAAGTCCCTGTAAATTCAGTGAGTCTAGCTGCACCAGAAGTCCATACTAGTTTGCCAGTAAAGGGTGCCATGTGTAAGATGGGAAGCTTCTGCGTAGTGGAATGCCATGATTGTAAAAGTTTACTTTAGAATCAAAACTTACAGACTGGTTTGCTTGGTGTAAGTGCAGTAACATTGCAGCACACAGACACAGGCATTCACGTTTTCATGTAGGAAATGTTTTCTCAAGGCAAGAGTCAAAGCTTCATAGAGGGGTGTCAGAGACCGTTTCAAAGGGAAAAGTCTAATTTTAGAAGCTTCCAGTTTATGTACCAGAACTTGCCTTTCAATAAATAGCTTGTGTAATCTTCCTGCTGGCACAAGTTGAAAAGTACATTCCGTTGGAAGGGGAAAAAAAACTGAAGAGATCCCGTAAACTTGTTTGTGAAAAAGAGAAGAGGAAGAAGAAAGTAGACATCACCGCAGGCTTATGTTTCATGTTGTTGAAAGTATTAGGTTGCAAGCAGCAGAAACCAACACTGGCTAACTTAGGCAAACAAGAGATTGTTGGACATACATGGGGTCACTGACAAAATCAAGGAGAAAAAAATTGAACAGCTAGACCTAGTGCTAGGGATTTCAAGGGCAGGAGTGAACAGAAGTCTCTTTAGGGAGTTGCCATCAGAATAACTGTCAACTGTTTTCCATGCTTGTGTACCCTACTCAAGTTCCATATTCCTGGGAGAGTCTGATTGGCCTAAAGTGAATCACTTGTCTACTCACTGACAGTCCCTCCAAACTACATGGACGGTAGGAAGGATGAGTCTCTAAGGAAGAGTGGGAGCTGCTACAGAAAAAGAGGACCGGGAGCTGGACAGGGAAAAACCAGTGGGCATTCACCGTTCGCTGGAATAGACCAGCCAGGTAGCCACGATCGGTTGTAATGGTTTCACCTGGCCCAGAGTAGGTGGCCAGTGGTTACTGGTCCCTTTTTCCTTCAGAAACATCCATCAGCTTTGTATTCATGGGTGAGCTGTGGCAGAAATGTTAACACCACTTTGAATTGGAGAAGGATCGTTTCCCATGAATCCCAGAATATCTTTTTCACTTAGCTTTGTAAATTGTCCAGATGATCAGGAATGTTTGATGTGGGGTAAAATTAATCTAGAATCACTTTTCTTATTTGCTTCTCATTTCTTCCTCAGCAAGTTCTCACACTGGAAGAATGTCTTGCCAGAAAATTATGATGATAATTCTCAACAGCTGTAGGTGTGTTCTTTTCTACATCTCAGCGTAGAGAAAGGATTCTTTGTCTTCCTGAATGAACTGGCAGAACGCTTACACTTAAAGCCTGTTTGCTTAGAACTTATACCCTCCCGCGGGGAAGGGTAGAGCTCAGTGGTAGAGCATGTGCCTAGCATGCAGGAGGTCCTGGGTTCGATCCGCACTACCTCCTCCAAGAAAAAACAAGTAAACCTAATTACCTTCCCCACCCCCAAAAAAGAATTTATACCCTCCCTATTCCTTCTCTACCACGTCTCCCTTTCCTCTCGTTCCTCGTAGCTCTTCGGCATGTACTGCTCCAGCAGGGACCTGGGGCGGCTTTTGTGAACTTCAACATAATTAAAAACTCAAGGAACAAGAATTAATGTAAATATGTTGGGGGAGCCTCGTGCTATTTGGCATGAAAAGACACGTACTAGCCTTCTGCTGCAGCAGCCATTGAAGAGCAGTGGTCACTGCTCTGTGCTGCCCCATGGCCGTGACCTCAGCATGGGCTGCAAGGTGACCAGGCACAGTCAGCTTGTGCAGGACTGATCCCAGAGGTGCGCGGCTTCGCCTTGTGTGAGTGGTGTACACGTGGGGCTGTCAAGTTCTCCTAGGACAGGTGGGCCCTAAGTTCACCAGGAAGAGGGTGGGGACACACATTCGTGCCTAGAGGAAGAGGGAGGGGTTCAGCTGGGTCCCAGCTGCCTTGAAGGACTGAGCCTCCTTCCCTATCTGTACATAATCCGATCCTTATGTGGTGGGGCGGGTGGGGGAGACATACATCATTTAGGACATTAAGCCAACTGTGAATAATTGCGTTTGTCAGCATGCTAGCTAGATCCAGAGGATGGATAAGACGCAGGGAGTGTGTTCAGCCACAGACTAAAGGTTGTGAAAAGAGAACCTGGAAAGAAACAACAGCCTCCCAAAAAGCCCCTGCAGCTTAATTCTGCAAGTTAAGTTGTCCCACTGTCGACAGTAATACATTCACAGTCAGAAAACCTGTGTGGCTTAGTGACGTCCTGACTGCTACAGAAAATCAACAACTGACGTGTGTGTATGTATCAGACACGCACACGAGACTTTTCATCCACAGCTGGCTGTTCAGGTTTCTAGTTACTGCATGTATTAGCCAGGGGTGGATTTTGATCAGGAAGTAGGGAAAAGAACAGCCTTTGTAAATATTAAGCCACGTGTTCATTCAGTCTTTATCGGCATGTTTTAGAAAGTAAATTTGCTTTCACTGTTAAACAAAAGGCAGACCAGAACCCTTGCATACCTTATTTGGTTATAAACTTTCTGGGTTTTTCCATTATTATGAAGTCAAAAACAAATTTTATAACTTCCTTGAGATAGCTGAAACTTCCATAGCAACCTCTTTAAGGAGGGGGTAAATTATTGTAAGGAAATTGATCCCAGCTGACTTTCTACTCAAGCTAGGATTTTAGTTCAATTTTTGTTCTGTTTTCAAAAGCTTGCGTACACGCTTTGTCAATGTACTAGTTAGCCGCGAGGCAGCTGACCTCGGGCAAAGGCAAGTCCCCCCGGGAGCCCAGTGCCTAGAGATGGGGATGCTGTTTTGCTTGACGCTGGCACTGTTTAGTTAGAAGTAACTGAAAGTGTATCAGTGGAAATTGATTTTGGATGGTGAGTAGTAGAAACTTCTTTTACCTTGGGGAAAACATAAACATTAATTTCCATTAAAGTATGAATAGGGCAAGAGTGGGAAATAAGACATAGCACTGATTCCAACCCACAGGGGTTTTATGAGGATTGACTGAGACAGACTGTGAGGAGTGTTACAATAAGTGATAAGTTCTCTTTGGCCATTACAGCTTTTTTAAATGGTTGGTTCCTGTGTTTGCCGATTGGAGAATTTTCATGAGCCTTTTTCTTACGCAGTGAGAGGGAAAGGAATTATGATATGGTCTTAAAGTCTCTGTGTCTCAGTTTCCTTCTGGCGCTTCCTCATAGGGCTGTTGTGCGGATTCAGTGAGTTAATACGTGTAAAGCACTGCGAACAGTGCCTGGCACAAAATCAATGCTGTGTGTATGTGAACTCTTACTGTCGTTAGGAACGATGCAAATACAGCACTCAGCTGTGGGGATGTCAGCATTCTAACAGGGTACCAAAGTTACCAAGTCTGAAAGCTACAGAAACCTAGCTCACCCTCGTATCCCAGTTTAGTGATAATTCTGCTGCATGAGTGTCTCATACTCCTTTGTTATATGCACTCAACAAATGTTCATTTTGAGCCCAATATGTGCTGTGCAATCTACCAGGTTCTGCAGGAGATACAGAGCCCAGCGAGGTATAGACGCCGCCCTTACAGTGCTTACAGTTTAATTCAAAAGGTAGTTATGAACAAAACTAGCCAGGCAGCACACTAAGTAGAGTGGTGCGAGCGGGCTTGGAAGAGGGAGAGGTGACCTTCAGGTGGGGAAATCTTGAAGGAGACAGCACTTGAACTAGGTCTCCGTGGATGTGACACGCAGAGATGGCGTGAGGGAGAACAGACTTGCCCTTGGAGGACATGGCGTGAAGGAAGGAGTGGGGAGGGAAGGGCGGTCCGGGCCACCTTCGTTTGCACATTCCCTGTTGTAAGACGGGTGGCTGGTGGTGCTAACGATGGGCCGGCCACGCGTTGAACGTGATGCTGTGGCCCGGCCTTGGGCATGTGCTTTTCCCTAGTGACTGAGTTCCATACGCTTAGCATTATTTTCCCTATGTTAGAGATGCGGAAAGGTGTATACCTAGAAAGTAACCGCACCACCATCGAAGCACAGGAGTGGTTGATGCAAAAGCCTGGGTTTCTTTCTAACACGGCCGGCTGCCTCTTCAAAATCTCAAGTGACTGACAGATAATTGGACACCTCTTCTACCATCTTGAGAATGCTGATTGACAAACTGATAGAAACAGATTTTCTGCCTCCTCCAGTGCTTCCCAGAAACCCCTGAGAAGACCCAATGTTTGTCTTTCCCCAAGACTGCTTCTGAAAAGGTTGCTGGGGAGCATGCAGTCCGCGCAGGGTTGGATGGTCTGGAGGGAGCTCATTCTGGCTGTGGGGACTTGGGGTCCCACATGTGCAAGCTTGACCCTCTCCCTCTTCACTGTCAGATAAATAGCATTGTCTGTGTAATCAAGTTCAAACTCAGAATGGAATTCAGGGTCTCTGTGCCTTGGCTCCATTCACTCACTGGCTTTGTTTCCAAATCTGTAAACTGGCAGTCAAAATACTTCTGTTTGCCTCAAGGTTTATTGTGGGATGAGATAAAATCCAGTACATGGAGTACATCATGAACTGTTCGCTGCTTTAGAGGTGGTGTTTTTATAATCACAGTCTTGTGAGACAGTCACATGCTCACTGGCTTCTGGATACATAGGGGTCTTTGTTCCTACACTTGAGTGGCTTCAGTTGGCTTATTTTAGCTTCTTTTTTCTAACAGACTCAACTGTCACGTCTTTGTATCGGCATTATGCCTCCCTCGGATAGCCCACTCCTCCCTCAATTTGCTGCTTTTAATCAGCAGTCAACTGGGAAACCACGTAATAGGACTTGTTAGCAATAAGTCTAAGATTAATTTTGTTCTTTCCTTTCACAAGGGGTGAGAAAAGATCTTTTAAATCTAAATTGGTTTAAAATTTCCTATTTTCTTAATCTTTGTAAGCTCTTAAACATTTTTAGAAATTAATAATGCATACACCTAATTTTTCAAGCAATGCAGAAGCATATAAAATTTTTTAAAAGAGATCTGGTCCCTCTCTCCCTTTCCCTCCCCAGTAACCCCCTAGAAATAATCCCTGTTTACTGGTATGAACATACAGAATGGGCACATACAACTTGCTCTTTTGACCGAACTGTTGAGGTTTTTGTACAAGTACATCATTGGTTATTGCTTCATAAGAGAACCTCAGAATTAGCGGTTCCCGTGGGTCAGGAGTTTAGTAGTGGTTTAGCTGGGGACTTAGCTGGAGCTGGATTTGAGGTTGCAGTCGTGGAGGCTGGAGTGGAGCTGAAGGAGTCACTCCAGGGTGAACTAACTCACAGACAGGCTGTTAGCAGGAGGCCTCAGTTCCTCGCCCTGTGAGGATGCCCGAGTATTGTCACAACGTGGTAGCAAGTTTCCCCAAGAGCGAGCAGCCCTAAGAGACTGGCTGGATCCCGGAGAGAGCCAAGCAGAAGCTGTCCTTATTGTGGCCTAGCCTCCAAAGTTACATAGCATCCTTTCTGCCATATTCTTCGCTAGAAGTAAGTTTCTAAGTTAGGTCCACATACAAGGGAAGTGGAATTAGGCTTCACCTTTTGAAGGGAAGCATATCAAAGAATTTGCAGGTGTATTTTGACCCCCCACAATATGTATAGCTCTGACTCCTTCATGTCCGTGTGTGTTATATTCCATAGTATGGCTGTGCCGTAACTTCCTTAACCATGCCCCCATTAGTGGGTACTGCAACACAGAAGTATAAACAGTGCTGCAGTGAATACACGTAAATACCTTTACCAGCTTGAGCCAGCACGCAGCCAGCTAGAAGTGAGGTTGCTGGGCGAGCAGTTGTTGGGTTCTTGTTACTAAACTCAGGTCCAGCCACTCACTGCTCAAAAATCAATATTCGAGAGAGGCAAATGCTGATAAAAAGGAAAGTTTCTTTTCATCAGAATGCCGGCAATCTGGGGAAATGGTGGACTCAGTGACCACAAAAAACCAACCACAGAGATGCTGCTCGGCCATCAAAGTTTTCAAAGGGAAAAAGGGAAGTAATCTCGGTTCATCATTGAGATGGAGGTCAGTGTCCTCGCCATCCCCCACCGCGTGCAGGCCGGTCCACTTCTTGTGACCTTTCCTCGGATACTGTCTTGTTCACACAGTTTGTTCGCAGGGTTACTGAAGGGGAAGCTGGCGGAGAGATCTGGTCATCTGTTACCTACTTATTTTCCATTCCTATTTTGATCTACAGGAAGAACCGACAGGTTAGGCAAGATACTGTGTGATCAAAAGAGTCGAAAGGTGTGGTAGGGGCGGAGATGGGTGGTGCTGGGCATGCTTGGTTTAAGGTCAGTGGCAAGACAGAAGGGGCCTCTTGTGAACAGCTCTTTCCTACCAAAAGCTGCGTACATTCTGAGGGCGGGTCCGAGGGGATGGTCCCTTATAACTAAAGAGCTGGAAGATATACAGACGTGTTTGCCTTTCAGCTTTGTTCTGGGAAGATGGTTCAGAAAGATACTGGCGTTAGTCATTTCATGTAATCGGACTCATGGAAACAGAAAACGCCTCAAAGTATAATTCTCAGAAAAGAAAATTTAATAGTATGAGAAATGCATGGATTAGAGATACAGGTGTCAACATGAATGAAATGTATTAATGTAGAGTACAGAGAGCGAGAACAGGAAAGTAGAGCGTGACGCTCATTGTATAAAATGTAAACATGAAAAACAGTATGATGTTCTTAGAAATATTGCAAAGTGAAAAATCCAGAGAAATCTATGATCAATTCAGGATAGAGGTTACTTTGAAGGGGCTACAATTGAGGAGGGGCCCCCTTTGGGGGGATTTCATAATTGGTGGTTTTATTTCTTAATCAGAATGATGGTAACAGTTGTTTGTATTCTTTCTCCCTTTTTTTGGTGGGTGGGAGATAATTAGGTTTATTTCTTTCTTTATTTTTAGAGGAGGTACTGGGGATTGAACCCAGGACCGCATGCACGCTAAGCATGCGCTGTACCACTGATCTGTACCTGCGCTCCTCCTTTCTACCTTTTTGTACATCTACAGTATTGCTGATTGAAAATTTTGAGGGACTCTCGATTTTTCTTATTTTAGCTTCAACTTTTGGTATTAAGTATATACATGTGTTTATTGTTGGTGATTTTAGTGCAGTGAAGACAGTCAGTGGTGAAATTAATAGCCAAAGTAAATGCGGTAGACTCTGGAATTCAAGCGAATTCTCATTGGGAGACCCTGAGCAAACGATTGACGAGACCAGCAGGCTCGGAGGAGTCCAGCGGCCTGAGTCACGGTCTGTGCCCCCACCCGTAGCCCTCCAGGTCTGACAGCGATTTGGGGCATTTACTTAACTTTCTGAGACACAGTTTTTCTCATCTGTAAATTGCAGGGAGCAAACGCACTTCTCAGCGCTATTTTATACAGATGACATGAAATTTTTTAAAAATTAAAAGTCTGAAAAGCACCTACTACAATCCCTGGCACACAACAGATGTTCACAGATGACTTCCCTCTTGACTTTTGGTACCAAATCTAGCATTTAGGCAAGTATGTGTATTTAGTTAATTGCAAAGTTCGCATTTTTCTTTTGTAAGAAAAAACGTTCAGAATGCCATATTAAATTTTCTAATGCCTTCATACAATGAGTTAAGATTATTTAATAGTCGGTGCTAAACTGTACAGTTGTCATCTCTAGGGATTTCTTTTTGCTGACATTTGAGCAGACAGTTCTTTTTTTGTTTTTTTTTTTGTTTTTTTGTTTTTGCTGACTGAAGATCTCTTTGTTGTGGTGCTTTGAGCTTGTTAACGACCAAATTCTTCTGTGGCAGCTGCACATTGCACATGCTTATTCTCCACGTCTAGACCATAAATCTTCCGTCACTGAGTGACAGCGCCACCTGCACAGCGTTTTGACACTGCAGATACAGCTCTAATGTTATTTCCGAATATTTCAGACACATTTTCTCAGACATTTGAGCCCCTACTGGGGCAAAGAGGTGGTGTCTCAGGCTCTGAGAAGCTGTTGTTATTGTTTGTTGTGTATTTTATGATGGAGACAGGCTGGTGGTATTTCCTGTACACAGGACTGTAGAACACGGAACATCAAGAATTTGGTACATAGCCAGCTGAGGTTTACTAAATACTTAGAATAATTCTGAGAATTTTTATATTGTTACTTTTTCCTACCTAATATCTATTTATTAGCTTATTCTCAGCCAGCAACATGTTGAAGGTCAACATTGGGGCAGTGACAGTCATTCACCCATCCCAACCAAAGCTTTTTGCTTTGCTGGCACTATGTTTTCATGACCAGCAGCCGAAAACAGAACTTTTGAGCCAGACTGCCTCAGGTCACATCCTGGCTCGTCCCCTTCCTAGTTTGTGCTCGCGTCACTGAACCTCCCTGCACCTACCTCAGTTTCATCTGTAAACTAGGGATGACCATAACTTTAATCTGCCTCCAAGGGTAATTATGAAAGTTACTAATAGTTATAAAATATTTAGAACAGTATCTGGCTCAGAATAAGGACTGTTCAAATATTCATTAAATGTAAACACATTAAATAAATCTAGCAGACGGACAGCTGTAGAGATGGAGCACACAGGACTGGGCTGAGCTCTGTGAGCTCGTCCCCGATCGGATCTGTCCTCAGACAGTAAAAGGCACTGTCCTTTCAGTCAGGTGAGTTATGCACTCTGATAAGAATAAGGAGGACTGTAAAGTGTCAACAAATGATGCTTTCCCTTTGGCTGAACCAAACCAGAAGCCTAGGGGACAAGGGAGCCTAGGCAGAGAGCCGGTGGGACAAGGGACAGGAGGGATATGGGGGGACAAACAAAATACCCATCACATTTTCTATGACAGAGTGCATATTTATATATAGCGCACATATAATGGGTGTGTACATGCATGTTTCTGTATAAATTTTTCATTATTCCAGTATATTTTCTAAGTTTCTACAGAAAGAAATTTGGTCTAAGCATGTAACCAGAATGAAAATAGTCTCATAGTCGCTCAGAGCGTATTTCCAGCATTACTATTCCCTGGTTTGGAGCAGAGGAGGAACACAGTTCATTTGCTACTTAATCCAGAAAAGCCATTCCAAGCAGGATAGGAAATGTTAAAGAGCCGATGGGTGGAATTGATTATATGCCCTCCGAGGAAGAAATGCAGGCAAAACTGTCTTACGCCAAATGTTTCTGATCTGCACCAATAATTTCCGTTCATTAATAGATAAATTGAATTCTCTTTTTAGATGAATACATTTCTACTTGAATCTGTCATTTCATTTTAATTCTACTAGCGCTCCCATTGAGTTCCCCCTAATGTTCATGTCTTCAAGGCTGATACGGGCTATTCTGAATAAGAAAAGTAATTAAAAGAATGCTTGAAAAGAAACTGTTTTCTAAAACTGGGCACACCGTTGCCCTGGGGAGTTGAGGTAGCGGAGAGATGATGAATGAGCAGATTTTCATTCTCTTGGTGAGTTATTGCTAGAGGACCACTTAAAATTTCTCCCCTGGAGCCTGAGGAGGCTAACTTGCCTCACACCATTGGGGTCATTCTTTGTTCAGGTACACAAGGGATGTGATTAATCCTGGTTTGACAATTAACTCTTGGTATCTAATAAGTAAGTATTCAGGACATGAGGAAACATGGCTCTTAGTAAACTGAAAGCCTGCTGGAAAGTTTTTGTAACCTCTCCCTGCCAAAAAAATACGTTCAATAAATTTACGTAAGAGAACTTTAGCCTGCCTGTGGGTGGGAGGCGATTCTGTTTGCCTGAACAGAATTTAGTGAGAGGTTGCTGACACGAAATCTCCCACTTGACAGCTAGGAATTTCGTTTTCCCAGATTTGCAAAGCAAGGTCAACTTTACCCAAAACTCTGTGGTAGGCAGACTTCTAAGATGACTCCCCCTCCGTGACCCTCACCCTTTGTCTAATTCTCTCGTCTGTGGATGTGAGACACCTTTCCTGTGATTGTTATCTTATGTTAGCAGAAGGGATTTTGCAGATGTGCTTAAGGTTACTAATCGGTTGACCTTAGGATAGACTATTGCATGGGCCTAGCGTCATCATATGAGCCCTTTAAAAGCCAAGAGTTTTCTCTCTGCTGGTGACAGAAGTGGAAGTCAGAGAGATCTGAAACATAAGAAGGACATGCTGTTGTTGGCTTTGAAGCTGGAGGGGCCACGTGAATGCAGGTGGCCTTTCAGAGCGTGGAGTGGCCGCAGCTGACAGTGAGAGAATGGGAACTGCAGGGACCTGGATGCTGTCGGCAGCCTATGAGCTTGGAAGCAGATTCTTTCCCAGAATCTCCAGATAAGAGCCCAGCTTAACTGCCCTTTAATTTCAGCGTTTGTGAGACCCTAGGCAGAGACCCAGATGAGCCTGTCAGTTCATACTTAACGACCTCTGCAACTGGGAGCTTATAAATGGTGTTTTAAGCCACTGACTTTGTGGTACTTTGTTACATAGCAATAGAAAACTTATCTGCTTTGGATCCCCAGTTGTTCTCAGACAGGGCCCTGGATCTAAAAGTTTTCCCTCATATTAAACTCCGGTTTATTAAGCTTAAGACCAGTAGATCTTCCAGGGAAAATGTCCCAACGCCACGGCCACTCCAGACAGAGGCACTCATCCTTTCTAACTTACTTACCTTCATCATTTCTACAAGTGTGGTTATTTTGGGGTCACTGTGTACCCCATTTTTCATACGGCAAACTTTTAAACCTCCTAAATTATAGATCCTTTAGTTTCACTGTATAAATTCCATCTGAAACAATGCCCATTTCCTACAGGCCTGGGCGTTGCAAATGAGTCTTTTAGTCCAAGAGCAGACAGACACTAAGCACCATTACTCGTCTCCTGACCACTGTTGTCACCTGTACCACCTTGTGGAAAAACTGCCAGGGACAGACAGTGCAGAACATTTACAGGTCATATGGGCTGTTTTAGCCTTTGCCTCTGGTTGAGAATGACATTGTGGGCTAAACTACCTGAGATGCTTATTTAAAAAGGAGGAAAAAAAAAACTTACGTGTTAGTACTAATGCAAGAGCCAGTGTTTGCTGAGATCTCTTAATGGTTCAGACAGTAATTTACAGTTGAGTGAAATAGGTATACGTATCTTGCCCTGTCCTCCTCTTTGTCCCCTTTCTGTTTAAAATGTTTCTTCATAATTTTGTACCGTCTAGGAGAAATTAGACGCTTGCTTCCCATTACGGTAAATAGATGAGCACTGTCTGTAGACAGATGGCGTCATGTTGTCATTATCTGAGAGCGACTGTGCTGTGTAACTGGTTGTGCCGAATGACTGGCCACAAGTAGGGGTTTTAAAAACCAAAGTAATCACTTTTGGTAGATAATTCCTAGTTTATAAACTGGGTTGCTACAGCTAATAATCCAGCACATTATAATCACCTAGGCTGTACCCCAGAGCAATTAAATAGGAATGTTGCGGTGGCCCCTGGCGCAGGTGTCTCTGTGTGCAGCTGGGGCTGGGGACCACTGCCCTGCTGTGAGTCTTCCCATTCAGAGGCCTGGAAGTATGTTTTGCAACTAGTGTATCTTGGAAGGAACACCAGGGAATTACACTGCTCCGAGCTACATGTGCTGTGGGTGCTTTCCCAAGGAAAAAAGTTTATGACAAGGTGAGTGTTTCCTAGGCTGTAGTTACCTCAATAATGGCGTGAAACCACACGTTCTTCTGTTAGGCAAGAGTCTCCCGGTATGTAATTTCTTGGGTTTGATTCCTACAGGAGCCTTCACGGACTATCAACACTTAGTAAACAAATCTACAACCTGTGTCAGAAATCAGTGAAAGTTTTTCTGTGAAGGGCCCAGTAGTAAATATTCATGGCTTTTGAGGCCATATGGTTTCTATGGCAACTCGACTCACTTCTGCCCTTGCCCTGCAGCAGACAGTACGTGAGTGAATGAGAGTGGCTGTGTGCCAGGAAGACTTTATTTATGGTCATAATCTCGTTTGTGTTACCAGTGTCTCATCTCTGGGGTTGTTTTTCTTTTTTTCATGGCAGATATTCCTTATTCCTTTAATTTATATTTCTGCCCTCATTAGTAGCTTTTCCTGACCTGAATTTACAAGGAACTTCCAAAAATATAACTAAATAAAAAAGCTTTATGAATGATCTTATAACCTGAAGCATGTTTTTAAGTGGCAAAATTGGTCGGGGGAGGAATATGGGAACTTTTAATTTATTGCATAAACATGCTGTATAAATAAAACTTAATTTTAAAATGAGCAAAGGTTATTCCCTTTATTTGTAGAGCTATAATTGATACATAACTTTATATTAGTTTCAGGTATACAGCATAATGATTCAATGTTTATATGTACTGGCAAAATGACCACCACAGTAAGCCTCGCTAACATCCAACACCACGCATCGTGGCAAAATTTTTCTTTCTTGTAATGAGAACTTTTGACATTTTCTCTCTTAGTAACTTTTA